TAAACATGAAAAACAATTAATAAGATAGGAGAACTAAAAATCAAAGATATAATGCATACTAGAAAAAAGTATTGTAAATGCGACAAAAAAACATTTCTAATTTGTAGCTTTCCTAGCCAGAAGAGACAAAAACTGATTTTATATAATTATTTTACACTAACTAAATTTAATAATTATTTCCAAGTTCTTCTCAATTAGCCGGATTAGCGCACGTGTTTACCTTTGACGGAAAGAATAAAGCGTTCTTAAAATCTTTTAGTTCTATCGACAATAAGAACGTGCCCATAAATAGAATAATTGACATGAGGAACACATCGGGCACATAATTTGGATCGTTGCAGTTGTCGCCTACCATCGTGCCATTGTAGTTCTGAAAGAAGTAATAAGAAGACGTCAAACGAGAAGGTGAATTATCAATCTAAAATTTGTTTGCGGATTTAGAAACGCCTAGTAATCTAGCAGTTCACACTTGTAATTTCTTAAAGAGACAGAAAAGAAACTTGTAATTTCTTATAAGATATAAAGGAAGCAAAAAGTGTGTATTTGTTGCAATTGAACGTAACGAGATGATTTGTGTACTTGATGTTTGCACTTTCTTCACGATTGCAAGAGATATCGGACGGATTGATATTCGAGTGAAAGAGTCTGCAATTTTTGAGTAAGATGAGACACGAGGCTACACGAGTAGCATTTTAACCTGAAAGTCGCTTTGATAACTTCATTAATAGAATCGATTGATTAAAACGCATTTGAAGTCTCGATCTCAAGACGTGCAATGCAACGGAACTGTTTGTTGACTTAACTGTAACAACAACCAGATTGCCACTCATTTGGTTATCTGAGGTTTATGTTTACTACCTCACAATTTGTTTTATCCAACGACGTCCAGTTCAGGTTGTCGTAACTGGATGGCAGACTGATATTCGGTGGCTTACACCAGCAATCGTAGCTCAATGTTTCGCTTGAATACATGTTTAAAGGATATTTCTTGCCAATGGACAATACATTTTCGATTGCCTATAATTTATAAATATATTTTTGATAGTATTGACCTAGTCTCAATAAAAACATGTAAGCATACGTAAAGAGAGGTTTTATACTGATGCGCACAACAAGTCATAAGTTATTAAACATTTTTTGTCATTTATATAACAAGAGAGAAAAACATTATTTTAACAAATTTGTGCACTACTCTCTTAAGTAGAATCAGTGCATTGCAAAAATGAAAATCAGTAAATATTTACTGATTCCGATAGTTATAAGTCTTCCACCGAGAATCAGTAGATTATACTGATTCATTCTGTTGGAACTCTTTTACTGCGCAAATCAGTAATTATTCACTAAGTCAATCAGTACATATAAATGTATCAATTAGTAGTAAATCAGTAGAATATCGTCATATTCACTAAATAAAACAGTAAGACTGTACTGGTAATCAGTGATAAATTTACTAAAAAAACAGTAAGAGTGTACTGGGAATCAGTGGGAAATATACTGATAAAGTAGTAAAAACTTTACTGTTGCTTATCAGTAAATCGGTATTCAATTTATTATTTATAAATTTTGAATACTCAAGAAATCATATACAAACATTAAGTATATATTTCCTAAGAAGGCTATTTAAAGCAATATTCAACAACAATAGTTGATTTTACTTACCTTGTAGATAAAGATAAAAGCAATAAGAGTGGCAAAGTTCTCTTCTGTAAATCGAGTAATGTAACAGACGCAAGCACTCGCGTCGAGAGCCACAAGAATTATCAGAATAAAAGTGGTCCATGTGCCGATCCAGAAACGAAAAGACATGTAATTCCAATCGATTTTTCTGCGACAAAAAAAATAATCTGATCAGATTATTTCGAAATATTCTACGTAAATAAAAGAAATGTATTAATGAATTAAAATTTCTATTTGACGTAGTCGCCGAAATTATCTTCATTTTTGTTAAATTGAATGTAATATCTGTTCTATCAATTATTGAAACTGAATCGGCGTACGTGGAATATTAAATTTCGTCGAGACTCACTTGCAAAATTCGTAGACAATTGTCTCAAAAACCAAAACAGGACCGGTAGAACCAAGTATGGTCAACGGCTGGCCGGAAAAAAACCCGTATCCTATACCGCAGACAAAACCAGAAACGAGCGATTCCATGGCGGCCATGTTCTTTCCAGTTGCCTCGCTAAGGAGGCCACCGAAGGTGATGATAGGTGACAAGCAGGCGAAGTACAAGAAAATAAAAGATGCCACGCATTGAAGAGCCAGGGCATCTTTAAAATCGGAAAAATAAAACGGAGCTTTTCTCTTAATATCGTTGATCAGTCCGCCGAACAGTCTTCCGGTTCTCGAAAGGCCAGATTCCTCTCGTAGCTTTTGTTCGTCAGCTTCCTCGTCGAACTCCTCCTTAGGCTTTTCCTCTTTTGGTCTCTTCCTAACTTCCTGCAAATAGTTCAGTAAGTCGCGATTGGTTTGTTATTTTTACATATTACAACTGCAAAAAAAAAAAAATAATTTAATTTGAATGAATCTCAAATCTCGATACTGTTCATACAATGTATGAAATAACGAAATAAAACAATCTTTCGATGCTCATTGCATTTTTCTCTCGTCAATGAGAAGTAGATATTACCTTGGTGGATTTATACAACATCGAGATTTCAGCTTAAAACAACGCTATTTTCTAGTTTCGTTTGAGATAGACATTTTTACCTGGGACGGTATAGCGGCCGGTGGTTCTATTCTGATCGCCGGATCCCATTCGCCGGGTGGTAATACCGTTACGGCGTCTAAGAACTCGTCGATGCCGGCTAAAAGATGATTTCTATTTTTTGCCTTGTAAGCCACATCGTGGAAAACCTCGTCGGACATTAACGTTGCCATAGCTCGACCAATCTCGTGGAAACCCGAAATACCACCCTAGCAAAAATCAGTGCATCATGATGATAAAAAAAAAAAAAAGTCCTTGATCTATATCAGTCCTTGATTTATATTAGAATAAATGATTGACTTGATAAATATATTTGACATATTATAAGTTGATTTTCTTGCGTACAAATGGTTACATTGCTGTTCTAGTTCTTGCTGTGAATAAAATACAGTTTATTCCGTAATAAATATTATATTGTAATTGACAAGTTACAAAAAATTAGTCACATAAGTCGATCTAATTTCTTACATCAGCCGCATGCAATTAAAATGTTTAAATTCAAAGACAAATGTGTTTTCTACGCAGAACGGAAGTATCGCATGCCAGGTGTCGTAATAAACTCACGATCGTGTTTAATTGTTGTTCAGATTAATGTGCATACGAACACAGAGAACCTTGTTCAAGTTGGTTCCGAGTTCAGATTAGTTATGTTTTTTTTTTGTTTTTTTTTAGGTTTTCCAAGGTCGAGTATGGTAAATAATTCTGCAAGCGTTCTCACCATAGGTCCAAGTAGAACAAAGACGAATCTCGTCGGAACGGGAACTTCTGTCAGGTCGCCCATTATCCCGGCTTGACTCAATCGAATAAACGCGGACACGGTCTTGTCAAGAAAATCGACCTCACCCACGAGTATGTTGCTTGCTTCGGCGCCAGGTGGTATCTTCCTCATAAAGTGTGTATTACCCTAATGAGAAACTGAAGTTGAAGTTTCTCGAGTTGTGTCGTTTCTTAGTATATTTAACGATTAAACGGGAAGAACTCAAACAGTTTTTTTTGGTTAAAAAGTTGCTAACACAAAGTCAAAACAACAATTATCTAAAATGATTATTGCATATCGGAAAGTATATCGAACATTAATCGGTAGTTACAATATATAACAGCGATATATATTTATTAGAGATGTGCAAAAGTTATCAGCGTTTTTTACTGAAAATCTTTATTATTATTAAAACTACACAATATCTCGCTTTGGTTCGTTACAGCGTAGCTATACAACTATTGGGACATCACGATCAGATTACATGTTTGAATTATAATAATATTACGAACCTTGTGATTGATATCTCCGTTCTCTAAGGCGGATGAGCTGTGGTTTCTGCTGATAGACACGCTGCTGGGACTCCGATCTATACCGGTGCTTGGTTCTTGACCTGAAAGAGATCTAGCTTACTGCCTTCTACTGCATTTTTACACGCGATTTTTTTTTGTATCGCAATTCATGTCGGTAGCGCGCAATGAAGAAAATGAGGCTTTCAACCGCCCGTACGTCACTAATCCTTAAGATGAGATCGTCAGATTGCAATTTTGTATAGCTGAAATTTTCACGTCCATGTTATTGTCACCTACTTACTTTCGTGATTAGACTAGCATATTTTGCTTTAAGATAATTTCTTATAAAGCCAGAAACCACAACGCGAACGTGTCTTTATCTCGTCGTAAAATCGTTACACATTATTCTATATTGTTTTGAAATCGAGTGAGATATGGTTGCAGAATGAAAAGAAATCAAATAAAATCGGGGAAAAAATACGAAAAAAATTGTTCTTATATACTTGCAAACACGAATTTGCTCGTTCAAATTTTGCAAAGTCAACGTAGACTTTAAAAACGCGATAGATTTCCACGCTGTCAAATTAAAACAGAAATAATTGAAGTTGGAAATGTATCGTTTATGACGGTTATTACAAACAGTACTAATTTGCAAATGAAAGCTTCTTACTGAACAAACAACGTTCTCTCACAAAAGTTTGCATTGAAGACAATTATGAAATAAAAATCTACATTAGTAAAAATAATTCATTTTTTATATAACAATAGAAAGATTGATAAAGATGTTTCTAGTGATGCGCGTAACAAATATTTTCAGTCGTAAGATACGATGATATTAATTATCATATCTGCATCGTATAAATACTGAATACATAATATTTTATCTGCAGCAATCTGATATTGTAATTTTGTTTGTTTCTCTGAGTTATACGAATGAAAATGCGCTGTATCTTGCAATACAGATTATTATCGAATTGTAGCTAAATTTTCTCATTAATCGAAAGATTAAAAGATTAAAGCTCTTATAACAAAATGAAAATATTTGATTATTTGATAGAAAGAAGAAATTCAAATCAAAACACATATTATTAAAAATAAAGAAAATCCGATGCATGTGTGTGCTTTAAAATTGAAGTATATAACAATATATCAATTATAAAATTATTTCAATTAATAGCAAGATAATAAAGAGCCATAATTAATTTCATTGTGATCAAATCAGGATCTTAAATCAGTTTTAGCTTGATAAAGTTTTAATATACATACGACGACAAAGTCACTTGATTCAAAAGATTAAACTTTGAAGCCGTACTTAAAGTAGTATTTGACTTTTGCGTCAATGTCAAAAATAATTACTCTTTGCCAGAAAAGTTTATATTGTAAACATGTTTTGAATAGTAGTATGTCGTAGAAAATAGAGATATAAAACAAACCGACGCTTATTCGATAGTTTTAATAAAAAAACAGAAAATAATTGTGTGTGAACATATTTTTTTATACATATTTTTTAATCAATTCTGGTTTGCTCTTTGATGTTTAAAAAACACACTGTGTTTTAGCACACTAGTTTTAGTTTTGTATTACAACTTTGTAATTTGTTTCTGTTGTTAAAAAATGTATAATACATACAAAATAGAATAAGTAACGTGACAGAGAAAGTTCACAGCTTTATGTACAATCTAAATATCTTCGAACATTAACAGGAATAGTGACGTCTGGCACAGTTTTGGGAATCAACTATTGCAATTTGTAGCGTGTTAAAGCAATTTGCGCGAGCGGAACAGAGTTAAGTCTCTCGCATTCTAATACCAATCCGTTTTGCAACGGCTTCTCGTTTCTCGCGTACGTCAACATTAGCGCGGCTAATTGCCACTACTGCTAAAGTTAATCTACGTGTTAATTGTGTAAAATGTGATAGTTCTACTGCGAATTAATGAGAGAAAAAGTGAGATTCGCGAATGAGTAAAAGCGTGTGAATAGAAAAAGCGAGCATGGAAAAGCAGTTTACCGGGATTGCCGGGTATCGCAAGGAAGCGGCTGCCAACATTCAGTGCTGCTCCACTGCCTTGACTTGTTGCGCCGGCGATTGCCGGAGTGGAATTGGATTCCTCCACTAAAAATGAGCATGAAACACGAGGATTGTTTTTTATTTACAAAGGAAAGTGCGAGAGGAATTCTGCTAGACGATACGACGTTGTAATAAACATTTTGACTTCGGAGCTTTTTGAAACACATGTTCGTATATATATATGTAACAAATAGAAGATATATATATATACATATATTATATATGTATAATCTTAACATATAAGATCAACCGTAATTATATATTGATATATTTAAAATATGTGCAAAAGAGTAAGTTTTCAACAATAATTGAATATTAGTAAATAGAAAATAGAATATCAGTAAATAGAAAAAGTAGGTGTTCCATAAAAAATACACATATATCATTGTTAATAATTTTGATCTTGACATTTACTCTTAAAAAGAATTGTTGCGAAGAAGAATTACAGTGTTTTAATAACGGAATGTTTTTGATATACGCGTACCGATTGTAATCTTACCTCGTGAAGAGGAAATTATACAATCAACTGTTTCTATTTTTAAATAGAGTCAGAGACGTAAGTATTGACAGTAAATACGCGAAATTTTCATACGCGAATTAATTACATAGTTTGCTATGTCATTAGAGCTCTAGTGTGTTCTCATTTTTCTTTATTTGTCAGCAGGTTTTGCAATAAAGTTCAAATAGTTTACTAACTGTGCTCTTTCCTTAAGAAATACGACAAAATATTTCGATAATTATCCAAGAAATTCTCAAGAACGTGTGTGATGCAACATAATTCCAGAGGTACATACAAAAAAGGAATCGATTATTATAATCGTTTAACATGACTTATGTTATGTCTTAAAAACGTAACACTGTATTTTAAAATATAAAGTTATAAAAAAGACATTTATAAGTTTAGTTTACGTGGATTGTGAAAGAACGATGGATTACATTAGACAGGATACTGAAAACACATGTTAGTCGATTGCACCATTTAGAGAGCCCAATAAATACACTAAATGTAAATACATTGAGTCACGTGCATGTAATATCATTACAACAAAGTCACATGCCTCCATGATTGGAATTACAAACATTGGTTTACAATAGTGTCAACGAAAGAACGTGCAATGTTGATTAATAAACAATGAGATTCGCGAACAAATGAATTTCTGACTAACATCATGTTCGTCTTTTGCAAACATATTGAAATCCTACGTATCCTCATTGCACCTGATGTTAAATCTGATTATTCAAGTTTTTTTCTTCTCATAAAACGAGAGAATGATGCTCAATATTCACAGATGATATAATTAAATAGTCATAGCTAAATATTTGTGTATGTCCGAGAATGCAGATTATACATTAATCATAATCTAATTTTCATTGTGTTACTGCATGAGATTAATGACTGCGATTAGTTTCATAACTCGATGAGTATTGAAATTGACGAGCGATATGTTTGAAAGACAGAATCGGTCGCAGTAGTTGCGTTCGTTACAAGTCAAACGTGGATTCAACTGCGACTGTGTTACACTCTCGTAAACGAAATATTTTGTGAGAGAACACAGTATTTTTTTCTCGCGAATAATTAATTTCTGTTTATCATAAAAGCAATGTTGTGTTGTATATAAGGAAATTTAAACTTTTATACGACACGTGTGTGCGCGCGACGATCATCGGATTCTCATTTCGCGTGAAGATATGCACCGAATGGAGGTGTGTCTTTATAATTGCATTTGTTGTGCATTACACAGTAAGAAGAAGGAGAGCTCCATTGAAAATAGTTAAAATAATAAGAGGCAGAATCTATATACGAGAAAGAGAGAGAGAGAGAGAGAGAGAGAGAGAGAGAGAGAGAGAGAGAGAGAGAGAGAGAGAGAGAGAACAAAGTGAGTTCTTTGCCACACGTCGAACAAGATGAGACGTGATGAAACACGGAAGACGACAGAGAAGATATTTTAGAATAGGCGGAAGACAAGTGAAAAGAGTATAATTTTTTTAGTGTGCAAACTCGTAGAACGGAGAATAAACCATCTGGTGAGCTAACCTTTTAGTGGACACATTGCGAACCACGTTGTGAATCCCACCACGTGGGGTATGCCAAATTCGTCTGATAAAACAAAAAAAGCAATAGTAAATTACAAACTTTTGACCGACTTGAGCTTCGAAGAAAGTGACTCAATGAGGACTCAATGAATATCTTAATGATGTCAAATATTTTACATTGACAAGAATCAATTAGCAAACCAATTATCAGGCAAATAGGACATACGAATGATCATAATAGCTTGTAAATCTAACACATTGCGACGATCGAAATTGCCTTGATTTTTGCTTGATCGGCTATGATACACAGTCTGTGATACAAAATTATCGCTGAATGTTGTATCTACTTGCCTCACAAATTCACGATAATTTCATATCAATTGTTTGTCATTTCAAAATTTTATTTAAAATGTTGATATTGAAATAGCAACGTTTTTCCGTTTTATTTTATCGCAAATTAATCACAAAGTACAAATCTCAGTCCAACTTGAAAAACTTACAAGTCGAAAAGACAAATTTTTGGAAATTTGCGAGGCAATCGATACGTGTGTTGTAGCTGTTAATGGGTCGTTCCAGTGAGATGTGGTTAGAAAAGCCAGGAAAGCACCGCAATCCAAGGTTGCTTAGCAGGACGAACTGGCCTAAGTTGTACCTGGAACCAGAAGGTACGGCCCTTTGAGGTCTTTCGCCTCTTTTGACAGCGGAGCCGTGTTCGAATTCGGGCAGCTGCTGCTGCGAGCGACGGAAGAAAGTACGTAGGCGTCCTTCGGCTCGCGACGCTCCTGCAAATCTGACGTCAACAAGGCATGCATACCACATGAACAGTCGCAATCTGAAAATGTCGATTGTGTCGTACGTGTTTAAACAAACTTAGCACGCCTTGGTAACCACAGACCCGGCTCTATCGCCTCGCCACCGCCGTCGAGGTGGTCTCGAACAAAAATACAGGTGAAAACAAACAAAAAACTTTCTATTAGAAATTAATAAGTGCAAGTAAACTTAAATAAAAACTGGAAATATAACTAAAAGGAAATATAAACGCCTAACGATCCAAACTTAACTAAAATTAAAATCATTTGCAAAGCAACATTTCGAAAAATTAGTTTAAAAAAACTTTAATTAATCATTTACTTCATTATAAATTGAACTTGTTTCTTATAAGAGACTACATATTTAATTTGAATTTAAAAATTGATTATTTTATAACTTGATCTTTTATATTAAACTTGGATTATTAAGAGTTGCAAACCAACGTTTTTAAAAATTAAATATAAAAATCAACTTAAGATATAAAAATAAATAGATAACAAACTAAAATTTATGTAATATGTAAAACAAACATGCTAGTTTTTTTTATTAAATAACTATAAAAAGATAAAAAACAGAATACAACATACCAGAAAGATAGAAAACTAAATAACATAACGAATTGAATAACGATTTGATACTTGAACTTAAAACAAAAAAAAACGAAAACGCACACGCGCACGTTGAAAGTGAATATCAAGTGAATATCAAATATGCAAACACGGAATAGAGCTAATGCTGAAACACCTTTTTTTCTGTAAACGTCCTGCGGTTGATATATTAAAAGTTAGATATATACTACTATAGCAGAGGTGACCTGTCAAGAAGTGATTAATGACACCGCGCGAACAACCTAAACACTATACTTACTTTTTGAGGAAGAATGATTGCGTCCTATTTCAGCTAGCGATCTTATGATTGGTAACTTTGACATGTTATTGTCTTTACGTCTTTCGTGCTGGTGCCGATGTCTGACGAGGAGAGCATCTCGCACCTGAAACGATACTTTATGTTCAATCGGTTGGTTAAAGATAAAGATGGCTTGATATTGTGAAGTATTGATTCAAAATAGAAATAACACGAATGTGGAACGTCAGACTTTCCATTTTTCAGATTCTTATAAAGTCTCTCAATATAATAAATTTTTCACAAAAAGACACGTATCTGTGATAACGCTATTATCTTTATATAACTAATAATTTAATAAATGAGAAAAAAGTTTTTTGGGCCAGTATCTTGTAATTTAACTTCTGTTTTAAAACGAATATATACCTAGAATGTAACGTACCAATATCACGAGCGAACTCTGTACATATGCATTACTCACACGCACATACACACATATATTTGTGAATTATTTTTTATTTATTATATTTAAATATATCGTGGAGAGAAAGAAAGAGAGAGAATAGTTTCCAATATAGAATATATTAACAGATAATATTTCATACTTTAGTATGTTCTTACCTTCTCTCGTAACTCAACTGACAATACGCCTTTATTGATCATATTATCGAGGACGAGATCGGCTATCTGTTCCAAACTGGTTGCTTCCATATCAAGCATGACGGTTCCGTTTAAAAGAAGACTTCTCAACTCGAAGAGCGAGTGCAGTGATAACGTAGCAACATGAGGTTTGCTCCATCTATTACCACCTTCCTCGACATCTTCCTCGAATTTGATCCATCTACGCATAATGTANAAAAAAAAAAAAAAAAAAACGAAATGTCTGATATACTTTTAATTACTTTTATTTAGAAAATTATTGTTGCAGCATGTCTTTCCGTTACGCCCTTATTTAAGAAGTAATTTCGTTTATTTTGATAACCGATATTATTTTGCACACATTTTAATGAAATTATTTCATATTACTACATCATTATGTGTAGGTGGAAAAAAAGAAAAAATTTAATTCTTATGTATTCTCTTGTCGTAAAATAATAAAAAATCTTAGTAGCGCGCGATTATTTTCAATGTTTATAACATCGTTAACAACTCTTCTGTATTTTTCAAAGGATTGTATCAATATAGATTTCGAACTCTTTACCTTGCCGTCTCCTTCCATTCCATTTCATCACCATCTTTGATGAGCTCTTCCATTTCCGAGAAAAGCGGATGCGATTCATGTGCATCGTCGCCGACTTCCTCGCCAAGGATAAACTGCACTCTCTGGGCCGGTGGAGTGACTAGACAATCGTGCGATAAATCATAAATCACCGATTTCACATTTATAAACAAAGATATTTGCGAAAGTACGTACACTATTTATAAAAAAAAAAACAGATACATTTATAAGAGCGTACGCAAAATAGAATAAAATACAATAAACGAGAAATTTATTGTTGAAATTATGTCAGATGCGCGAAATGTTTACCTAAGGGGGGAAGAAGTGAACGGGAAAAATGTATGGGGTAAGATGAGATAAAATGACTATTCTCTTAGCTTTTGTATAATTTTTCTTACAAGTATTTAAGGTATTGTGTTTTCGTGCTTGCTGCTTGAAAATTATAAAGATTCTGTAAAAGATATTTTGTTGATTTATAATAAAAATTCTATATTTTCTTATTTGATATTAACTTATCCCTCTTTCGTTTTGCCTCACCTTTTCCTACTTAGTTTCAAAAAAGTTTATTATTTTTTTTAAAAAATTTTATATTAATTACAAAAAGAATAAAGAAAATTTGACACGTTCATTGACTGATCGGACATCAAAAATATATATGTATATATATGTATGTAAAAGTTATCATGTATCATATACGCCATGACAGATGACGCATGCACATAAAAAACTTTGAAAAACATAGAAAGCAGAATAAAAACACAAACAACAAATTTTTTTAAATTGTATTATTGAACAATTGTGTAATCCGTTGTATGTAAAATTATCGAGAATTGGGTAAAAGACTATTTTACAAATAATTAATATGTACTTACTTTTATTTATAACTTGTTTATATCAACATATAAACAAAACTTTAAAAATATTTAGTCTTTTCAAACTTTATATAGAATTGTGTTTACTTTACATAATTACTGTTTTCCTAATGTTGTAATTTTAAGCATTTTTTTAATGTAATGTTTATGTAATTATAAGTTTTGTATTGTAAATGTTATGTTATTGTAACAAACTCTTATGCTTCGAGTTTAATAAAGCTTTCTGATTCTTTTTTTCTGCATAGTAATGTTACAAGATATTTTGTTATATTTATTTGTTTATTATTACATCAAAAACAACATCTTCATTGATCATATTTTTCTATTGGAAAAAGGCGGAAATAGCATTTTTACCCTCTTCTGAAATTTGTTGTATAACTGTAATAAATTGTGATACCGTTCGTACATACTACGCAAAAGTAATAAACATTTATTATAGACCAGCACATTGAGCAACGTGTAGTATTCGTAATTTGCATTTGACATGTGCAAAGTTTATAAACTCGGGCATGTTGCGACAAGTTACGTAGAGTTCTTAAAGGCGTAACTGATTCGACGTGTTAACAGCGATAAAATAATCTTTATATAACGATAAGCGATATCGCGAAGCAATGTTTGAGAGTGATATGTTATAGCTATCTATATCTGATAAACATCAATACGCATGTGACGCGATTATCGCCTTCGTGACATCATGTATGTGCTTAAAATCTAATTAAAATATCATTTTCACAATACAATCTCACGCAACAAAAGCATCATTCGCGATCATTTTTGTCGATGTCTTGCGCGCAACTGATGACACAATAATAATGAAAACGTGAAATTTTTCAACATAAAATCTTGAAGACGTGGTGTAGAATGTGCGAACGGTCTTATGTCAAATGTTAGGTTACAGTATTAAGTATATTTGCATCTTGTATGTATGCATAAGGATGGCTTACATATCATCTCGCCGGCGGGGTCGCAGATACTAGCGAGACGACCCCTGCGCGCCATCAATAATTGTCCTGCAATGTCAAGGTTGTTGTCGTGTCATTCGGATCATGCAGATAAATTTTTCGCGATATATCAAATTGTCAATTTGTTCGCGCTTTACATGAAGTAAAGAACTTATAAAATTATTTTCTTTTTCTATCCTCTTAAGAAAAATTAAAACTAAAAAAATAAGCACTTTGCTTTTTTTTTCTAAAAAAAATTCCTTATTTCTTTAGTAGTAGTTAGCATTAAGTATTTAGTATAATGTAATTGTATAATTAATTTTTGTAAAGGTATATTTACTATAAAATAGACATATAAGCCTAAGAAACGTTGGTTTAGTTGTTCATCATAAAAATGATCTTGTGTTTATTCATTTTTATAGATGCACAATGTTTATTAGAGTCAAGATCAAATATTTACAATGAGAAAATATTGACGATGTATTAATTATGCAGACATGGAAGATTTATGTGCGTCACTGATAAGCGGCTAAAATTGATTTACAGAAAAAACATTTGAGCTATTTACTTTATTTCTAAAATTAGACATCAATGCCGGTAAAATCTGTTGATTTTTCATTAATGATCTAGCTTTAATAAAAACGTACGCATTTCAAGCTGTTATTTTTATGATATAAACATGCAATATATATATATATATATAAGTTAATGTTTTAACAAAACATTAACTCGATAATGACAAGAATTTTATACGCAGTTAAAATGTTTCTTGAAATAATTTTACGACTATTATAAATATTCTGCATTCTTATTAATTACTCTTGTTACAAAATAAAGAAACTAATTATTAGATGCCAGAATGTTTCAATCAAGCGATTTTTCATTGCATGCAAAATCATTTCTATTAGTTTGAAAAAACTGAAAGATTTTGCTGCAGCCTCAATATCGATTGTCTCTTTGTATGCGATGTACCAAAAGTAGGGTGAATACCCGGATAAGTGTCGACAAGTGGTTGGCGCACTGCCACTGGTTCAATAGCGTCGTAAAATAAAAGCGCAACGCGTCACGTGTGTAGCGTTTCAGTATAGCATTTTGGATTTTACTTTTAAGCTAAACAATAATGCAAATTCATGAAATAATCTATAATATGTGATTTTGAGCGTATTTTTCAAACGCAATTAAATTTGCAAAGTAAGAGAATCCTTGTTTAATTTTTAGACTAGCATTTTGACAATATGCTGTATTGCTATATTTAGTGGCTACTTTAAGCAACAAATGTTACATATAATAATAGAAATGGTTATAAATTAACAAATACCAAGTTACGTAGACATTTTAATAATATAATAATAATTTAATAATATAATCGATGAGATACTGCTTTTGATATAATTATCTCAGTATAAGTTTTTCAGTAAAGTTTTTCTCTTATCAGAGAGAACTTATGTAAATAAAAGTAACTTACAAACAATTTATATGTATTTCTAACTTTCAACATTATTGTTCAAAAGTTGACAAAGAGAGAGAGAATCCTTAATTTTATCTCACACATAAAATATTTAAAAATTTGAACTGATAATAAGCAAAATTTGTCTCGATATTACTATGCCTGTGTTAAAGCGATGTTTTGCTTAAAGTTTCGAACAAGGCGACATTGTTCTCACAAAGCGAATGAAATGAAGGATAAACTTACTCGGTCTGTCGTCGGCATCATCCTTACCGCAGGGATACGACTGCCGTTGTGAATGATGGTGCTTATGGTGGCGGCGGTGTCTTCTCTCTCCTGGCAGATGCACGCCCACGTACATCGTGTGCGCTCTGTGACCTGGAAGTAGATGAAAGGGATGTTCTGTCAATGTGTGCACGTCTTTCAACGTTGGGGACGCGCGCTTCGAACATGGGTTTTTTCTTTCTGACGAAGATAAACCACACGATCGGACTTTCCTCTCATCATCGCGCGAAGGAATATCGAATTGAAGCCACTTGATTACGTAATCTTACTTATTACGAAGGCATTGTGCGCGAGAGAAGTCAATTCCGTGGAGATTAAAAAGAATTCCGTGTGAATATACGCAGACAAAAAAAGGATTAATTTATACGGGATTGTAGAACTTGAACGCGCTAGGTCATGTTATTCTCGTATGTTGCGGCGAGTTCACGCAGAGTGAAAAGGTCATTAAATCGGAGCTGATTTTTTAATAAACGGGCGGATGAATATACGGTTGAACTTTGCACGAGGAACATATTAATATCGCATGTCAATAATATTTACACTTTTTTGATTAATATCAATTAATAATATAATGGCAAATGTACAACCTTTCAATATAATAAAATGTATAGTATCGTTTATTAAAGCTAGTAAAGACTAATAGCACACTTTATGATTTGTTTTTTAAGTAAAGAATCAATTAACACCAAGATAGGAGTGACAACAATTAACATCGAACTATACGAAAAAACTTTGATTGAATATCTGCTTTATATAACATGCCTTTTTAAAGAGAAAAACAACAAATCTGATATTTTTTATAACAAAATAAAAACAGTTTTCACAACTGGACTTAATCAATCTATCTAATCTAATCTAAATCTCAAATATAGGGTAGATGTCTCAATTACTGCCACTTTAAGGCTATCGCGTAACTTTATTTCATTACATTAAGAGTTGTTTAATGTAAAAATAATTCCAGTTTAGTATATAATATTGCTTAACTTCTCTTTGATTGATAACAACTTTTTTATGTATTAAGTATAAAAAAATTAATTAATAACACAGCCACACAAAAAAAAAAAATTTCTTTGGTCTGGGGATCAGACCATGTTTATTATATGTTTTTGGGGTCGCTGAATCCGAATCCGAGGTCCATTAAACCCTATCGGGTCGGGGTTCCGCCATAACCTCAAAAAACACCATAATCTGAGCTCGAAACCCATATAATCTTTTGATTCAAGCCATAAACACAAAAACCAATTAGATAAACCCCATAACCCCATATCGTTCAACATATCGAAATTTATGGACAACAGCCCTTTTAAGGGCTATAAGATGTACAAAATCCGATCGTGCAACCTCCTCGCGGTGTACATCGGGTGACGCTAATGCCGACGGTCTCGCNTTCGTTTCAGGAACAAATGTTTATTTTATGAGTACAGTGAGAATGCAAGGTCATAGAATTATTTTATTTAATTCCATAAATTTAGGAAATCTTTGGTCATGAATGATTGACATTTTAATCACCGTGATAGGCTTATGGAGCTATGGGGATATAGGGTTATGGAATTATGGGGTTAATGGGTCATGGGGTTCAATAGCATGGGTTTTCAATAGCATTGGTTTTTGTGGCTTGAATCAAAAGATTATATATNGGTTTCGAGCTCAGATTATGGTGTTTTTTGAGGTTATGGCGGAACTCCGACCCGATGGGGTTTAATGGACCTCGGATTNGGATTCAGCGACCCCAAAAACATATAATAAACATGGTCTGATCCTCAGGCCAAAGAAATTTTTTTTTTTGTGTGGCTGTGTAATTAATTTAAAATGTAAAATGAACTCCACTGTCTCTATTACTGTCACCTTAAGTACGTATAACTGCCACTAATATAACCGAATGTCAGTATCATTAAATGTGACTCAATTATTGCCGATTCTTTTCACTGAGATTTTATAACTGTCACTTTTTTATCCAAATCAGATTATATACAAAATATGAGTAATACTATATATTACAAGAACTAAACAAAAACAAATTATCTATTACTAATTGAGCAAATAAATAAACTTAATACAATACGACGAACACTTTTTACTCTTACTTCACATGTTAAATTTCAAGGTTAGAGTTACAGCTTTAACAAATGACAATTGCATGTACCCTAATACCTTTTTTTGTCCCTATTACTGATGACAATGATATGAACATATCAAAGAATATTGTCCCTATTTCTGATAGCAATGATATGGACAAACCGAAGAATATTGTTCCTATTACTGTTACCGTTAATTATTATAATCTAATAAGTGAATATCACTTATTTTATTTGTTATATCTCTAAAGTGATATTTAAACTGTACTTTACCATTCATTCATATGATAGATATATAGATCAGATAAGAAAATTATTATCTTTAGTAGGTGCAACTTTTTCATCATTTCTAGTTACACAATCGCGTTTTTGAGACTCAAACTGTACTTTTACTTATTAATATTAATCTTTTACTACCAAGCACACACAAATATGTGTTATTATGTAAATCCAAGTCCAAATTTAATAATAAAATTTATCGTGAGTATGATTTTTTATACGCTATATTTTTATAAGTAAAACAAATAAAAGTGGCAGTTATTGGGACAGTGGCAGTAATTGAGACATCTACCCTATATAAAATTTAAAATAATTTGTCTTTCAAAAAACAATAGTTGAACATTTTTGTTTCCAGTTAATTAAAAAGTTTAAGTATAAGCTTTAAATATCAATTAGCCATCAGGAATTGTAGCTAATTGTAAAGTTAAAAGATTCAAGTTTATTTTTGAATACTACTTAAGCTATTGAAATGAAATCTAGATCAAAATCTTTTTCGAGTCACGTAAAAATAAAAAAAATAAACATCTATAAAAAGAAACAACCAATTTTGTTTTGCTTAAAAATTATACGTTATGATTAAAAAAAACCGTCATGACATGTACGATCTCCTCTATTTGCACATTCTGTCGTGATGATAGGATACAAAGTGACCTCGTCTCTATATAACCATTATCTATAGCCGGTCGTTGTTTAACGAAGTAACGATTTTCGAAGCACCTACACGCGCATGAACTTTTCCGTGTATGCAAACACTGAAGCCAGATTTATATCAGACTGATTTATAACGAACGCGATATGTTATTGTTTGTCACAAAGATTCGACAATCCCTTATTTCGTTTATTCCTAATATGCGATTATAGCAATTTTACATGAGTTTTGTTATTAAAACTCTCTTCTCTCTCTCTCTCTCTCTATCTCGCTCTTGTGCTAAATCTTTTTCTTCAGCATTATTGATAAAAGATTTACGTATGTATTGTATATTGAATCGTAATTATTTAACATCTTTTTTATTTTTGAAACTGCTGTTTTCTTTTCGTTGCTAAATCAAAATCTTGCAACGTACATAATAATAAAAAAGTAGCATTAACGTTTATTAAAAACTGCAAATACTAATAATAATAAATAATAATAAAAATGTTTCTTACCTTCATAATCTTTTTCTGTATAAGATTGATGGGTGATCCGCGCACCCGGATCCTTTGGAGCTTCATCGTCACCGGTCCCGCCCGCATGGGCCCCGCCACTGCCGACTCCTGGCTGCATCCACGGTCTGCAAAATAAATTAAACGTTTGATTTAATTATTGCCGATGGCAATGTCGATAACGACTCTTTATATGCATCCGCGCTGCGTCAATGACGCGCGCTAGCTATTATTAACGTTGACTATTACCAACGAGTTTCCAACTAGTAGAAATGTTACCGCGCATTTGTTTGTCCGTGACATTGTTCTCTTTTTCGAAGTGTGCTACAGTGAATTTCCACATTCAAAAAAAAGAAAAGAAAACTAGAATTTTATTATTAAAAATCAAGGTTTTGAAAGAAATAACTTGTTGTTGATAGCGAATTTATATTTCTGTTTGATTAATGCATGTTTGAAAGGTGTTTTATTCATTTTGATTATATATAGTGGGAGGCGCCAACTATGGAACGTGCATCGACACGGAATATTTCGTAGGCGTATGTTCACGAACGCGTCCGCAACTACTACTTATGCGAATTAATAATAATTAAACCTCCTTAGAGCTTTTCTTGAAGGCATTTACTCATTTCCTCTTCATGTTTCTCCTCCCAAAACGTTCTATTGAATCACACGTTATTTCTTAATTTGAGTCCTGATCTTATTTTTTTTTGCTCTCTTAACTTTTTATAATAAAACTATAATAGTATAAAACAATAAGCTAAAATTAATAAATTATGTAATAAATATTAAACTGTGAATTTTCTTTAATATACATATATGTATAAAGTTAAGAGTTAAAGTTTTGATTTGTGAATAATCTATTTATATTCTATATATATAAGTTTTGAATTATATTTCCAATTAATTTTTTACGAAATGTAATAAATAAATTTAATTAATTAATTGTCTCACAATATGATATGATGACATATGCGTTATTGTAACAAGTGTAGTTATATTTATATATTTACATTATAGCATTGTCATCTCTGAGTCTAAATTATTGAGATATATATATATATATTTTATGTATTTTATGCTTTTGCTGTTCTTGCCAAAAATACATATTTAACACTCTCGCCGACATTTAGATGAATTTAGCACATTTCGCGCTGAAGATCAAAATGTTCATTTGTTTTAACATGAACAATTTTACAATTAATTTCCAAAAAATAAAAGAAAATATTTTTAAATAAGAATCATCTCAAACACAACATCCACAATGTTGAAATGTTCATATTCTTGTATCATACATTCTTGTATCATACATTTTTATTAAACATATTTCTTCAAGTTTTTTAAGTGCAAAGTTTGTTGATGTTGTTTACGTGATTGTGGTACATTAACCGATATGATTAGCATGAAACGTTATGTAATCGTAATATGTCATCTTGTTATCTTCATCCTACGTGTTGTACATTCTATATCTGTTTTTGTGCTAGGCAACTTTTATATAAATATTATGCAATTCTAAATAAATACACAGATTCGCCATGATTTTTCTTCAGTGTAGTTAATTATCAGTTTTCGAATAATTTCATAACTATGCGTGAAAATGAGAAAACTTTGATACACTGTAATAACATAAAGTTAAAAATCAATTAAATACACAAAAAATAAATGTAATATAGATTTTTCAAGTTTTAAAATCGATTTTTTTTAGAAAACTTCATACAAGAATTGTTCTCCATCATTTCAATTTATTTTTGAATAAAACATCATTGAAGAATTTTTTTTTCTTTTTTCTTTTTTTCTGTTCTACCGCATTTTGTATATATGTGTGTAAATATGTATAGTAACTAACAATAACAGCTACTCATCAATTAAATGTTTTACGGCTTTCTTTCCTCAACAGTCTTCTCTTTTCTCCACTATAGCTTTCTTTTCCTTGTCGCACATATTGCGTGCAGTTCTCTCACCTAACTTGAATCTAGTCACGCATGCGTGTGTTATGACTGCGCAGAATATTACCAAAGAGTGGGAGTAAGATTGTAACTGTTAGAAAGTTCAACCGTATATACTTTTGTTCTGTATCATATTAAAATAAAATAAAAATATCTTAGATGTCATAAAATTTAACAAGAAATATTTAACACACAAATTCTATTTATTTTAAATTTCTTTGAAAAATTGTAGTTTTATTTGAAGTAAAGAAAACTTATATTTAGAACGTTGGTACCAGAAGCTTTTAGCGCACTTGAAAATATATTACGAAAATATTACTTAATATATTTAATAATAATATTACATAAAATCTTTTAGCTTTAAACGACAATCTACTTTCAAGTTCATGAATTTTTGCGAAAAATCTTTTATTCTAATTGAGTAAGTATTTATACTGTCATCTCTCTTGTCTCAGAAGAAACAAGCGTAATAATATAGTTGTCTATTATGATGTCTTGTTCCCCTCCCCCTTATATAATCATCCTCTTCCTCTGAGACATTTACTAATTTCCTTTTGCGTCGACATTCTTGATTCCTCCTTTCTCACGTTTATCAACGATTGTCAGAGCGACTTGAATGTTAATCTTAAAATTAAAAGTAACGATTAAAATTAATACGATTGAAATAAATTAATTAAAATTAAGATTTAATGTCAAGTAAGGACACAATATATCATATAAGATATAAAAATCAATTATATATATAATAAAATATACATACATGTAATTAAGATAAATGCTTATTTCATCTCTTTGTAGCGTCTTTAATACGTAATAATTATCTTTTGTTCTTCGTAATTTTCACATACGCAACATAAATTTTGTCATTTTATAACAAAGACTAAATTATATTAAGTAAAGATTGGCGCGTATTATTTGTTTCTCTGGTACTTGAAAATCTTTGCTATTTCTCACACATATCTGTTTTTACACATTTACTACTTGAAGTTTCTATTTTTAACTAAAGACAAAAATCTCTTTATTTGTTTCTTTATCTGACTTTTGCTATTTGCTTATAAATAGCAAAATAAATAAAATAACAAAAGATGACAGAAAAATAATTTAAACGGTATATCTCTTTATCTTAAATTATATATATATCTCTCTCTATTATTGTATTTATTACCTTGTTGTCAAAAATTATCTACACGCACATATAAAACTGTATTTTTCTTCAACTACTTTGATAACACTCAATCACATGACACGCACGTTTGATGATCTCACCGGGTGTGCGGCATTTCTTATATCTCGTTTCTAATAACATGTGTCGGAAAACAGTTAACTATTCGAGATTGGACATGCGTCTCGTCGCGAATGCAGCTGGCGCGAGACAAACTTTGATACGGTTGGGAATCAGTGAGCAGCGCAGAGACGACGATCATTTAATCTTTTTCGTGGGCGCTGCCAGGTGCAGTTCTTGGCGACAGACGCAATTGCAGCGCTCGATATAAACGCAAAACGATGTGTGCACATATGTTGTCAGGGTCACCACAGCTTAGTGTCTTTGCCGGAAAAGACAAGTAGAATACATCGACATTGCAGTGTTCTGTATCATGCATCCTCAATGAGTGCTCTTTAAAGACTTAGTATAATTTATTAAAATATGGAAACCTCTTTAATCTACGCGCTAAGTCGTACAAGTGTTAAGTGCGATGGCATTGATGAAACTAGTCTACTTTTAGATGATTCTAGATAACTAATCATACATGCAAAACTGTGCGAAACGTACAACTAGTCGGTGAAGTTATTAATTCAGAAATATTTTATATTATAATTTAATCATTTATGATCTGATAATCTCTTCTAAAAATCGTAATTATATATGTACATATATATATATATATATATAATTTTTAATTTATAATTATTGTATGTATAATTTTAATAAATTATCTGTGTGTAAAGACGTCTTGACCTTGTCTATTAGCTTATATTTTTGAGATTCCTCATGATCTTTGAGGTCATTCGATAGAATGTCAAGATTGCATTGTCGTTGTCAAATGGTAAACCACCAATTACGAGCCGTCAAGTGGATAATTACTACGTTCGATTATTCAAGTACTTATACATAAAGCTCCACATAATGAATGACCTATTTGGCCGAACTATCTAGTAAAGGAAGCGTAGATTAATATAAAAGAAAAAGAGACTCTTGACTTTGGCACGTGGGAAGTAAACGGAACGATAAAAGCAACTTGCAAGCGCCACGCAGCGCACTAGGTTTCCGATTACGGATCAAGCGAACAAATTCGGACGAGGAAGCAGACAATGTTCGGGACAATGATCAGGCGCGGAGGCCGGCGGACAAATCAATGAGAGCATCAACGAGCGACAACAATGTCAAATGAAAAAGTCCTTGTGATACGGCACTTTTTTGTGGTTGCCACTGCGGTGTGTAGCAATAATTGGCGGTTTAATGACAAAACTGCGTGTGGTTTTGAACGTATGATAAACCATTCCACAAGGGCAATTTGTCTCAGCATATTAATTACATAATTGAGAGAATTCACATAACAATATAATTAACATTTCTTGATATCGCGCAATTACCACGGTCGGCAATCAAACGCCAATCAAATATTTTTTATACTTGGAACATAACAGTTGCTAATCTTATATATTAATCTCAAAAACGAGATAACAGTTTCTGTCACTCTTCAAACTTTCGTTTGTTTTATCTTTTCAAACATCTGACGCTAATAATTTTCCGAGAGAAATGTCTTTAACACGCGGTCGGTCACGATTTACAAGTATATTTTTTATGATCGTGTGGCTATAATCAATATTGGTAAATAAAACAGTAGAAAGAGATTGTATTAGCTCGGAAAATTTTCCACAAGCTATGTTATGTTTTATTGACACAAATATGAAACACACGAGACTGCACTTATCGTTTGATAAACAATATTTAGCAAATGCTTGTTAACATTTCTTTATCTTAATATTTTGTTTTGTTGTTGCTTCAAAGAAAAAACATATTATCGTGAAATGTAGTTGTATAGTTCATAAGAACATATTACAGTTATAACATATATTTTTTAGTGTATAAGAATTAGCGTAAATATACTATATATTAGAGAAAAGAAGATAAGTATATAAGAAATTGTGTCAAAATTTTGATTGACAATTTGAGTGTTATTTGA